ATTTTGCTGGTTCAAGTCTTTACCGCTGGGACATGTTTAAACTGAAGCGACGTCACGTACGCAATGTGCAACAAAATTTAACCATGGAACTTGCCGTTTTCGTCGATGAAGCAGCATATAATACGTTCATGTCTATTTTGGACAATGATGAGGATAAGTTGCACAATATTATATTAGCGTACGTGAATCGCATCCAGGCTGCCTTTAATCATCCCAGTTTGGATATCTTTATGAATATTACCTTAATACGTTTGAAGATGCCGACAGAACAGCTGTCAAAATTGCCAGTTTCCGACGGCGAAGCTGGCCAACTGCTCGATTCGTTTTGCAAATATGCAAATTCTCTCAATCCTACGGACGATGATGATCCAAATCACTGGGACATTGGCTTTTACTTAACCGGAATAGATCTTTATGTAGATATTCTAATAAAACATAAAGGGCATTACAGAACTGAAAGGAATTTTGAGATTACGGGAAAGGCTCACTATGAAAGCGTATGCGATTCGCTTCTCTCATGCGCGATAGCAGAATTTCGTGATCAATCTGAAGTCGAATACTCTCTTACTGCTATTGAGAAAATTGGTGAACTGTAAGTTTTTGAGAACTAGTTTTACGTATAAATTAAGAATACATAATATTTTTTATTAGAATGTAGGGTGTATCACAAAACTCATAAGACTCTTTGATTAATAATAAGAAAATGAAAGAATTTTAATACTGGTAATCTCACAAAATGCTTAATACGATTCGTAGTACGTGCAGTCTCACAATCTCGCCGTCTCAGTCTTGTAAAATACTTCACACAGCTCGCAGTCTCGTAATAACTCGTAGTCTCGTAATAACTCGTAACTCGTGATACTCGTGATACTCGTAGTAGCTCACAGTACTCGTAATCGATCGTATAATAATACAACCGCTCGTAATCTCGTAATCTCGTAATCACGTAATCGTCTTTATTTCTTCGTCACGTCCTACGTCTTATGTCCTACGTCACTCACTCTCAATTCACACACACTTAAACTCACACTAACTCTCATATCTAATGCTAACTCTAATGCGACTCTAATGCGTCGCGTCGCGGTCACTCGCGGAATCTATAATTTAGCTTTGCTCACGCTCGCGCTCGCGTAAGCGCGATTATTAAAACCATCTTACGTATAATTTATAATTCTACCCTTACGTATAATTCTAACAATTTTAACACCTTACAAGAATTTATTTAAATGTACAATTGTATAATAAAGTCAACAAGTAAAAAATCACTTTTAAGAAATTTTATTGTTTAAGAAATTTTATTGTTTAATTGTTTCTTATATAAACAATTAATAAATTAAAACATATTTAAGAATATTTCAACTAAACAATGCAATGTAAAGCATATATTTAAAATTAATCATTTATCTGTTCTACAGCTTAGGACTTATACTAGAGCGAAGTTCTAACGATTCGCAAATGATAGTAACATGGTCCGAGTATAGTCGTAAAAAATCTAAAAAACTCTGGGAAAGAAAAACATGTCTTAGAGATCAAGCAAAAACGATGATCTCTAAAAAGGAAAATGTCGATAAATTGCGAAAGAAATTAACCATAGAACTTGCCGTTTTCGTCGACGAAGTAGCATATTATACGTCCATGATGATTGTGGAGCACAATGACGATAAGTTACAGAATATGATATTAGACTATGTGGATAGTATCCAGGCTGCCTTTAATCGTCCGAATTTGGATGTTTTTATAAACATCACGTTGATACGTTTAATTATGCTCAAAGAACAGCCATCAAATTTGCCAGTTTCTGACGGCAACGCTGACCAACTGCTCCCTTCGTTCTGTGCATACGCGAATTCTTTAAATTCTTCAGACGATAACGATCCGTATCACTGGGACATTGCTCTTTATTTAACCGGAATAAATCTTTGTGAAAATACTATAGTACAATATGGATATGATTACGAAATAATAAAGGATTATACTATTACAGGAAAATCCTATCACAATGGCGCATGCTTTGCGCGTTTTTCTTGCGCAATAGTAGAATTCCGTGATCCATCGATAATCACATCATCTGTTGATGCTGTTTATAATATCGGCAATCTGTAAGTTTTTATATTAGTTTTACAAATAAATTAAGAATAAATTATATTTTATAATAAAATTAATTTAATTGTACAATTGTACAATAAAATCAACAAGAAAACAGTCACTTTTAAGAAATGTTGTTTTTTAATTGTTTATTATATAAATTATTAATAAATTATAAAATATTAAAAATATTTCAATTAAACACTGCAAAGTAATGCATATATTTAAAATTAATACTATAATATATTTGTTCTACAGTTTGGGATTAACACAAGAGCGAAGTTCTAAGCGATTTGGAAAGGACATAACATGGTCGGAAGATAGTCGTAACAAAATAAAAAACCTCTGGAAAAAAAAATATGTCTTAGAAATCAAGCAAAAATGATGATCCTTAAAAAGGAAACCTCTAAAAAGGAAAACATCAATAATGATAATACGCGAAAAAATTCAACTATAGAACTGGCCGTTTTCGTCGACGAAGCAGCACATTATATGTCTATGTTTCTTGTAGAGCACAATGACGATAAGTTACACAATATGATATTAGACTATGTGAATCGTATTCAAGCTGCCTTTAATAATTCGAGTTTGGCAGTTTCTATCAATATTACGTTAATAAATTTGCTTATTTTGAGAAATCAGCCGTCAAATTTACCAGTTTCTGACGGCAACGTTGTCGAACTGCTCTCTTCGTTCTGCACGTACGCAAATTCTCTAAATTCTCCGGATGATATTGATCCGAATCACTGGGATATTGCTCTTTACTTAACCGGAGTAAAACTATATGAAAATGTTATGGTAAAATTTGAAACGCATTATCGAGTAGAGAAGAATTATAATATTACGGGAAGAGCCTACCACGATGACGCATGCGATCCGCTTTTCTCTTGCGCAATAGTTGAATTCCGTAATTCATACGAAATCACATCATCTGTTGATGCTGTTTATAAGATCGGCAATCTGTAAGTTTTTATATATTAGTTTTGCGTATAAATTTAAAATAAAATATATTTTATAATGAAATTTATTTAATTGTACAATTGCACAATAAAATCAACAAGTAAACAGTCATTATTAAAAAATTTTATTCTTTAATTGTGTGTTATACAAACTATTAATAAATTAAATGATATTTAAAAATATTTTAATTAAACAATGCAAAATGAAAGATATATTTAGAATAAATAATTTTTCTGTTCTACAGTTTAGGATTAACAGAAGAGCGAAATTCTAGCGATTTGGAAAGGAATATAACATGGTCGGAAAAGAGTCGTAACAAAATAAAAAATCTCTGGGAAGAAAAAATATGTCTTAGAGATCAAGCAAAAACGATGATCTCAAAAAAGAAAAATGTCGATAATTCGCGAAAGAAATTATCCATACAACTTGCCGTTTTCTTCGACAAAGCAGCGTATCATATGTACATGCCTATTCTGGACAATGATGAGGATAAGTTACGCAATATGATATTAGCATACGTGAACCAAATTCAAGCTTTGTTGCATCATTCAAGTCTTGGTGCTTCTATTGATATTTCATTAGTAAAGTTGGTAATAATGAATAAACAGCTGTCAAATTTGTCTGCTTTCGACGGTGACCATAAAAAGATGGGCAAATCATTCTGCAATTACGTGAATCTTTTGTATCCTATATACGAGATTGATTCGCTTCAGTGGGACATTGGCCTTTACCTGACCGGAATAAATCTATATGAGTCAGAAAAGGAACAAAAGCATTATAGTGTTGTAGGAAGTTCTTTTGTCAATTACTCGTGTACCCAAATTTTATCGTGCGCCTTAGTAGAAATCGGTTCCACCGGTCCTAACGCTGTCTCGGGTTTTGCGACGTCTCGCATTGCTGCTCATGAGATCGGCCATCTGTATGTTTATGTATACCACTTTTACATACAAATTAAGTACATAATGTTTATTAGAAGAATTTTCTTATTTGTGCAACTAAAATGTAAAAACAACTAAGAAATTTTTAAGATATTTAATTTTTAAATAGCAAGACTTCTTAGAAGCTACAAAGTATATAAAAATATTTTAAATAAAGCATATTTCCCTGTAAAAGTAATAATTTATTTGTTTTGAAGATTAGGAATGCAACACGATAATGGCTCTTTCGATTCGACGTGTGCGAATGGCAAATACATTATGTCAGAATGGTATTTCAGTCGGGGCCAGATAGCATGGTCCGAGTGTAGTCGTAACATTGCGAAAGAACTATGGAAAACAAAAGAGTGCCTTTTTGATCATACGAGACGAGAAAACACCGAAAATCCAAATGCATTGGACCATTCGCGTTATCACGATTTGCCGGGAAGAGAATGGACTGCCAAAGCACAATGTCAATTATTTTTACGCGACAAAGATGCAAACGTAGTCACGTTGCATGATATATGTCAAGTCTTACAATGCGAAACGCCTCACAAGTATGGGTACTTCTTCGCAGGACCAGCGCTGGATGGTATGTTTTTTTTTCAAATTAGATATTTAAGTTTTTAATTTATTGAATTTTTTTCAGGAACTCATTGCGCACTCGAGAAAGAATGTCGCAGCGGAAAATGCGTGCCCGTAATCGAACCACCTCTCCCATATTGTGAAGAAGATAACTGGAGTGAATGGACGGAAGACTCCTGTAAAAGCGATTGCTTGACAAAATCGAAAGGCGTGGTAATCAAACGACGTTCTTGCAGACATGGCACTAACAAAACGGCTAGTTGTAATGGGCCATATTACGACGTGGTTCTGTGCAATGACTCCAGACTTTGCAGTAATGAACGCCACACGATTGCCGAATATACTGCTTCAAAATGCACTGAACTTAGCCTAAAAATAAAACGACAAGGCAAAAAATATTTCAAGTATGAACCGCAAAATGAGTCAGGTAAGCAGGCCTCCCATGTCGTCGAGAAACCGTGGAGAGCCTGTACCATACACTGCCTACGAGAAGAAAAAATATCTGCTAAATACAGTCTATTGCTTTTCTATGCACCACGCCAGGACATGCTCGACTTCAATATCGATCCATACTTTCCAGATGGAACGTGGTGTCACGAGAAAAATGGCCAGGATTATTATTGCCGCCAGCATTATTGTCTGCCGGAAAACTACTCAATTAAAGAATAATTACCGATAGCTTTTCGACATGTGTGGGCAAAAATCTAAGAGGAAATAAAATTGCAAAACAAGCATAATTCAATTTAGAACTGTTTAGTATTTGTTCAGTATAAAATCTAAAATCCGTAGAATTATCGTTGTTACTTTATATTTCAATCAATAAATCCATTTTTTGTTAGCAAATGATAAATTTAGACGCGGAAAAATACGTCGAACTGTTAACATGAAAAATTCCATCCAAAATCCAAATAGCTGTTAGTAATTGCATAAAGAAAAAAAGTAAATATTTATTAGTTGACATAAATTTGAAAAAAATATAATGATAAATCAGTGTTTAAAATTAATTAAGCATCTGAATCGATTTTCGTCATTTGTACCTGCCTTCTTTTTTCGTCGCACGCGCCGTTACAGTTACAGCCAATGCATTAGAAGTAGTTATTGAATTAATTAGTATTCACTGAATTATTAGTAGTTATTGAATTAATTAGTTCTTGATCCATAAAAAGATCAACTACGTGAACTTCAAATTTTGTAAAATTTATAATGTACTACTCAAATATATATATATAAATATATGTATATATATATATATTACTTAAACAAAATATTGTTTTCTCTATATTTATACTTGTATATATATTTATAATTGTATTGAACTACGTATCACATGATTAGATATTTCTCAAATTATTCATTGCCAATAAAGAATCTTTTATTGCACTTATGAGCGTGTCATATTGCCAGATTTACATTACGTTCGAATGATGTTACAAATAATAGATTTCGATATATTTATTAACTGAATATTACTACTCAATATATATTTTTAACTTTTAATAGTTTCTACTAACAAATTTTATTGGACAGAATAAAAGTATAAAAATATTAATTCTTAACAATGTCTGTCGCAATATGTATAATTTTATTTAATTTTTTTTTTCTTCGTTTGATTTCCATTAACCCAAAATTTCAAAATAACTTACAAGACATTACGAATATGCATAAACGACAATTTTATCTACCAATATTAATTATCAACATTTTGAATTCAAATTATTAAAAATTAAACTGTTACGTTTCCGATTAATGTTATTATACATATTATACATATTACTGATAAATTACATTTCATGAACCGATATCTTAAACCGATATCTTAAATACCACTTCTGTACTTTAGGTTTTAGAAACATAAATATTTATACATATCATGTAGCAAACAGAGATAGTTCAAAAGGTGTCACACCACACGAATGATATTCCTCATGCGTCAGTTCGAATTACATTTGCGATCATGTCAGATATAACGAAAGCTACAGTGCTAATGCGTGTACATAATTTATTTAATTAATTGTTTAAAATTGAAAAATAATATGTTCTTTATATCGAAATTTCTGATAATAATCTTACTAATTGAAATTTTCGCACATCTCACGCAAGATATGGAAACAATATAACTGCCGGCATCGAATCCGACAAGAGTAGAGGAGTTGTTTTACGTAAAACGTGCGTTTTACGGTATTATTCCATTTGTTACTCGACCGTCATTATTTGAAAATTACCAAAATTTTTTTTAATTGTCATTTAACGTTTAATTGTCATTTTACGTTTAATTATGCTCAGAGAACAGCCGTCAAATTTGCCAGCTTCTGACGGCAACGCTGGCCAACTGCTCTCTTCGTTCTGTGCTTGCGCGAATTCTCTAAATTCTTCAGACAATAATGATCCGTATGACTGGAATATTGCCCTTTACTTAACCGGAATAACTCATTGTAAAAATACTATAATACAATATGAATATATTTTCGAAATAGTGAGGAATTATAATATTACAGGAAAATCCTATCACGATGGCGCATGCTTTACGCGTTTTTCTTACGCAATAGTAAAATTCCGTGATCCATCGGAAATCACATCATCTGTTGATGCTGTTTATAATATCGGCAATCTGTAAGTTTACAATTGTACAATAAAATCAATAAAAAAACAGTCACTTTTAAGAAATATTGTTCTTTAATTGTTTATTATGTAAAATATTAATAAATTATAAAATATTAAAAATATTTCAATTAAACACTGCAAAGTAATGTATATAATTAAAATTAATAATTTATCTGTTCAACAGTTTAGGATTAACACAAAAGCGAAGTTCTAGCGATTTGGAAAGAAACATAACATGGTCGGAACTTAATCGTAACAGAATAAAAATCCTCTGGAAAAAAATATATCCTAGAAATCAAGCAAAAACAATGATCCTTGAAAAGGAAACCTTTAAAAAAGAAAACATCAATAATGATATAACGCAAAAAAATTTAACTATAGAATTAGCCGTTTTCGTCGACGAAGTAGCATATGATATGTACATGCCTATTCTAGACAATGATGTGGATAAGCTATACAATATGATGTTAGACTATGTGGATCGTATTCAAGCTGCCTTTAATCGTTCGAGTTTGAAAGTTTTTATCAATATTACGTTAATACGTTTGAATATGCTTAAAGAACACATGCTAAATTTGACAGTTTTTGACGACGACGCTGACGAACGGCTCGATTTGTTCTGCACATACGCGAATTCTCTTAATTTTCCGGACAATAATAATCCGCGTCACTGTGATATTGCTCTTTACTTAACCGGAGTAAAACTTTGTAAAAAAATTGTAGTAAAATTTGAAAAGTATTACGAGATGAAGAGGAATTATATTATTACGAAAAATCCTATCATGATGGCGCATGCGATCCGCTTTTCTCTTGCGCAATAGTAGAATTACGTGATTCATCAAGAATCAAATCATCTGTTGATGCTGTTTATGAGATCGGCCATCTGTAAGTTTATATATACTTTTTTATACAAATTAAAGATATAATATTTATTAGAAGAATTTTTATATTTGTGCAATTGAAAGATAAACCTATTTAGAGTTTTTAAGAGATTTAGTTTTGTAAAACTTTTAGTAACTACAAAGTATTTAAAAATATTGTTCATAAAGCATCTTTCCAAAATAAGTAACTCATTTGTTCAAAAGATTAGGAATGAAACTCGATAATGGCTCTATTGATTCGACGTGTGCGAATGGCAAATACATAATGACAGATTGGCAATATCCACGGGGACAAGTAACATGGTCAGAATGTAGTCGTAACATTGCGAAGAAACTCAGGAAAAGAAAATCGTGTCTTCTCAATCACGCAAGACGAGATATTCTCGAAGATGCATTGGACCATTCACGTTATCACGATTTACCTGGAAGGCAATGGACTGCCAAAGCACAATGTGAATTATTTTTACGCGACAAAGATGCAAACGTAGTCACGTTGCATGATGTATGTCAAGTCTTACAATGCGAAACGCCTCACAAAATTGAGTATTTTTTCGCCGGACCTGCGTTGGATGGTATGTCTCTTTTATAATTAAGTAGTTCAATTTAAAATTTTGAATTGAATTGTTTTCAGGAACTAGTTGTGCACTCGGGAAAGAATGTCGCGGCGGAGAATGCGTGGCCGTTATCGAACCACCATACATTTTTCCGTATTGTGGAGATAATTGGAGTGAATGGAAAGAAGACTCTTGTAAAAGCAATTGCTTTACGAAATCCAAAGGCATGATAATCAAACGACGTTTTTGCAAACATGATACTTACAAAACGGCTAGTTGTAACGGGCCATATTACGACGTGGTTGTTTGCAATGACTCCAGACTTTGCAATGGAAAATGCAAAAGGATTTCCGAATATGCTTCCATAAAATGCACCGAGTACAACTTAAAAGTGAAAAAGAGAGGCGGAGAATATTTCAACTATGATCCAGAAAATGGGCCAGGAAGGAACGTCATTCATGATGTTGCGAGACCGTGGATAGTCTGCACCATATACTGTCAACGAGAAGATAAAATATCTGCTAAATATAGTATATTTAATTTTTACACACCACGCATGGAAATGCTCAAATTAGATGTCAACCCATACTTTCCAGATGGGACGCGGTGTCACTACGAAGATGGCCAAAATTATTATTGGCGCCAACATTACTGTCTGCCGGAAAACTACTTAATCCAAAAATAATTGTCGAGAGCTTTTTGATATGTATGGAGTAGGATTTAAGAAAAAATAAAATTGCAAACACGCATAAATCAATTTGAAATCATTTACAATTTGTTAAGCGTCAATCCTAGAGACCGTTGAACAAATGATGTTGCTTTTTATTGTACGTAATAAATTAATTTTTTGTTATAAAAAACAAATTTATAAAAAAATACGTAGAATTATCGACATAAAAAAATAAATTTTATTAATTACGTTGTTATGATTGCAGAAAGAAAACAAATTAATAGTTATAAATTGACATATTTATGAAAAAAGAATATAATTTTAAATTAGTGCTTCAAATTAATTCAGCATCTGAATCTATATTCGTCATTGGTACCTGTGTTTTATTCCTCATCAAGTGCGCCGTTACAGCTACGGCCAATGCAACCAAGCGCATTAGAAGTAGCGTTATCGAATTAATAAGCAGGTTGTTCTCCCATAAGAACATCAATTATTTAATGTTCAACCTCATAAATTTTATAACGAACTATTGAAATATTAGGGATACAAATAAGTTTTAAACCGTTTTTTGTAGAACATAAAAAAGTAATTCAAAATTTAAATATTCTCCCGCTTTTTTCCGATTTTGTAGTGTTTATATGGTAACATAAAAAATAACAACCAACTTCACGATATTGTTTGTGTAACCTAAAATTGCAGCAGCTTGAAAATGGCAAACGAGAAACAATTTATTCGGCACTGCATTCGCTATGAATTCCATCAATAAAAGAGCGCCGCAAAAGCGCGTGCATCAATTCGTTTGACTCTTGGAGACAATGTTGTGTCTAAAAGTACGTGTAAATTTTGGTTCAGACGGTTTAAAGAAGGTGATTTCGACGTTAGCGATCGTGAACGTAGCGGAGCTCCTCTCAAGACTGAGGGCGATGAATTGCAAGCATTACTCGATGAAAATTCGTCCCAAACGCAAAAAGAGCTTGCATTACAACTGGGAGTAAAGCAACAAACCGTTTCCAACCGTTTACAGAAGATGGGAAAGATTCAGAAAGAGGGAAAGTGGGTACCACACAAATTGAGCCAGAAGAACAAAGATAACCGTGTCGAAATGTGTCTAAATCTGTACAACAAACAGCACAGAAAGTCTTTCCTGTGGAAAATCGTAACGGGTGATGAAAAGTGGATATATTACGATAATGCCAAGCAAAAAAAATCATGGGTAGACCCTGGCCAACCATCCACATCAACGCCGAAGCGGAATATCCACGACCAAAAGGTAATGCTCTGTATATGATGAGATATGCAGGGTGTGCTATATTATGAGCTTCTGCAACCATGTGAAACGGTTGATGGTAATCGCTATAGTCGACAACTATTGAGATTGAACGAAGAAATCCGTCGAAAACGTCCATATACTGGCAAAGGATTGCGTCCGGTGAAATTGCTTCATGACAACGCTAGGCCTCATGTCGCTAAAACGGTCAAAGAAACATTATTGACGCTTGGTTGGGATGTTCTACCGCACCCGGCCTATTCGCCAGATATAGCGCCAAGTGATTATCACTTGTTCCGGTCAATGCAAAACGCATTGTCTGAGGTACGCTTCCGGAATATTGAAGAAGTGCGAAAATGGATCGACGACTTTATTAAATCAAAAGACGAAACTTTCTTCACTGCCGGAATTCGTAAGCTGCCCGAAAGATGGCGCAAGGTCATAGATAATAACGGAGAATATTTTGATACTTAAATGTATTATTCAATTTCTGCAAAAAAATCTTGAATTTTCAAAAAAACAGTTTAAAACTTATTTGTACTCCTAATATATATATACAGGGTGTCCCAAAGTTTGCGGCCCAACCGTCGTGTACAGATAGAGCGGGTCAAACTGAATAAGTAAGTCTTTTACCACTTTGCGAAATTTTCAATAATTAATTAGAAAATAATTAATAAAGATCCGCCAATTCGCGCAAGTATTCCCCGAGCGCCGAGCGCGCGGCGAGTAGGACCCACCCAGCATAGCATAATACAAAGCGCGGCAGAGCGGTGGGAGGGACGCTCTCTTGGCTAGCTATGCACACTACACACGAGCGGTGCGTGACATAGAGTGTATTACGCTATGCTGGGTGGGTTCTACTCGCCGCGCGCTCGGCGCTCGGGGAGTACTTGCGCGGATTGGCGGATCTTTATTAATTATTTTCTAATTAATTATTGAAAATTTCGCAAAGTGGTAAAAGACTTACTTATTCAGTTTGACCCGCTCTATCTGTACACGACGGTTGGGCCGCGAACTTTGGGACACTCTGTATATATGTGGGATCTATTGATCCGCTGCCGACAGATCAATCCGCCGTCTAATGATTTATTTCTTTTATTTCTTTTATGTTTTCGGTCGCGGCGTCTATTGACATAATTATAAGTAAACTCTTTTGGCGGTCCGCGACAAACAATGTCGGTTTTCTTTAATGTTACCACTTTTCAGGGTATAAAAGTGCGTAGAGAAACGAGCGAACGGTCAGTCTCGAGCGAACTTCTATACGGAAAAGATCACGACGATTAACTGTATTCTGTACTCTATATTATTAAATAAACCTATGTATAATCTTACATATATACAGGGTGTCCAATAATTGCTGAATCACTTCTCGGATACAGGTAAAGCGGGTTAAACCGAATAGAAAAGTCCTCTATCATTTTTCTATTTCTGTAATAATGAATGAGAAATTAATTTAAAAATATCTACCAATTCGCGCGAGTTTAAGCGCGCGGTGAGAAGAGATAGCCCACTGTTACGTGGTCGCTAGGATGCAAAGATCTAACATTACACACCGTTCGTACGTAGCCGTTGTTATTTGTAAAGCGCTCCTCCCAATACTTCGTCGCGCGCTGAATAACCAAATAACAGTAGGCTGTCTCTTCTCGCCGCGCGCTTAAATTCGCGGAAATTGGCCAATATTTTTAAATTAATTACTCATTAATTATTGTGAAAATTGCAAAATAGTACAGGACTTTATAACTCGGTTTAACCTGCTCTATCTGCATCCGAGAGGTGATTCAGCAATTATCAGACACCCTGCATAAACAAATCTTTATTAATGACATTGTGTGAAAAAATGAACCTTGACGGAGTCTAACGGAACCTAAAAAAGAGTTAATTGTATTATGTATTAAGTATGCATTTGTCGAGGTAAAGTGATAATTCACGATGACTGTGACGATTTAAAATAGAGATGGTTATTAGTTGCAACCAGTGATGCAAACTCGAGCCGGCCAGCACCAGGGCTCCGTGGTAGGGGAGGCATGCACACAAGCGAGAATCGCGAGTTTGCATCACTGGTTGCAATTTTTGGCCCGATTTCCTGATTGACGCCTACTGTTCCCTCCTTGCCGCTTGCACGCTAGCAACGAGTCACCAAACGCGCTAACAACGTCCGTAACTAATAGCGTTTTCGATTATACAGGATTTGAACGACCCAGGGTTGATCAATCACTATTTTACTATAAATGCAAGTCTTTCATTGGTGGAGAGGTTGCAATGACGTCATTAACCAACCCT